AACAAAGAGTTCCCCTGATAATGAGGTTTGAGAACTCCTGATTAAGTGGAAAAGAATGATTTTAGAAGATTAGGAAATGGATAGAAACAAATGAATGTATTAAAACTTTGGAGTAGGAAGAGTGAGGGAAAAGTGTAAGTTTACCATGTAGAAGTGCTGCTTGTGGAAGATACAGACTACAGATGAATAAGAGAATGTATAACTAGTGTTTACTAGCGTGTTTCTGATGCTATTGTTAATTTCTTTTAACTGCTTTTTTTTTCATCTGCCTTGAATAGAATTTTATAATTGTCTAGGGTAAGAGTTTGAGTGTCCTCTTATGGAATGTATTTTAATAATGAATCCAATAGAAAATCTATTTCATATGGACACATTGACATGGCTTTACAAAGCTTTATTTGGAGCATTAGATGATGCCATTCATTTCTTGGCCATTCACTTAGAAGTGCTGAGATGTAAGAGACATCATACTACTTGGAAGAAAACAGAATGGCTGATGGATTCTCAGAGATATTCATGGGCACCATTAGTGGTTGGCCCATATTTTGTGATTGTAAGAAAGATTGAAAAAAGTTTTTATGAAGACAGTTGGTGTTGATTTGCATTTGCACTCTAAAAATAAGTCTAGTAAAGTAACTGATCCTCACCTGAGAAAGGATCTCTTCCGTTATGTAATATTGGAACTCTCCTGGAATGTTCCAGCTAAATTTCTAGATAGAGATATGGATATACACACATACCAGCTGCTCCATAGGAGAAAAATGTGACATTTAGCTTCCTTAAAAATTACAGCCTAATGAACTCTTATGTGGCCCTAGTAGTAAGAAGCTGTGGTGCACTTCCAAAGGCCCATGGTTTGTATCCATTAAGTGCTCCACAGGGGAAGGATGGGAAGTCTCCTCTCCTGTGATTTACTGCCTCTGAAGACCTGCTGGAGGGTCAGCTCTGAATCGCTTCCCACTCCATGGCACACACCAACAACAGACCCTATGGAGCAGTTCTGTTCTGTCATAGAGGGGCTCTCTCGGAGTCAGAATTGATGCAGGGACACATGGCTACATATTTAGGAAGCCATGCAAAGTGATTAAAGTATGGAAGAGTTTTAGGAAACACTAAAAAGAATAGGGATCTCTACTGGTATCTAAAAAGCTATTGCAGAGACTTGGGAGAAGAGCCTACAGGCATACCTCATTTTCTTACAGTCTGCTTAGTGTGTTTTGCAAGCCCTGAATTTTTACATATTGGAGACTGTGGCCACTCTGCATCCAAGCAAGCCCATTAGCACCATTTTTCCAATTCTGTGTCTCTGCCACTTTTTGGCATTTCTCCCAGTATTACAAACTTTTTCATAACTGCTATTGCAGACTTGATAGACTGTTAGTATAACTATAACTTTTCATATGCACTGAGAAACAAAGACAACGTGTGTGACTCACTTCATTTCAGTATTCATTTATTGCACCAGTCTAAAACTAAACCCACACTCTATCTGAGCTGCCTGTAATAGGAAGTACCTGCCACAGGAAGAACTCAAATCTCTTCTAACATTTTAAGCTGTGCTCCTTTTGAGTGTGAGGGTAAATCGAAAGGAAAAACTACCTTTGGAATTTTGTGAAGAAATCTTCCAATAGAATTGTAAAAGGACCTAAGCAAAAGTTAAAGTGATGATGAATACAGTGTCAATGTCAAGTGTCAGTTGAGTTTATATCAGAGGAAAAGGGGTGGGGGATGTCTATACACCTTATTCACTTTCCCTCTGTATTTCTGGATCATAAATGATTCACATATCTGAGATCTTTACATCACACAAAACCAGTAGTGCCTTAGATCAGTTGCCTGCTGACCTGTGCTACCTCAGATCTGCAAGGGAACCAGAATGAACTTTGCCTCAGCTATCCATGTAACAGTTGACAGAGCTGTTTACTTCTTTCAGGTGACGAGTTTTTCATCATTTTCTTCCCTTTTAATCTAGAAAATTTCCAAACACCATTACTATTTTTATTGTTTAATCTTTGTTAAAAACATTTTACTTCCTTTTATAAATTCAACTAATTAGTTGTCATCCACTGTTTCAACAATTCTTTTTCAAAGAAGCAATGTATTGGAGAGCTTTGGATCTTTTCCTGAGTTAAAAGATTATTTTTACAGCATTAAGCAATATATTTTTTTAAAATTTTTTATTATTTTATTATTCGTGTGTACCGTCAAATCAGATCTGACTGGTACAGGGGGGGATTGTCCTTCCTTCCCCAGCAGAGCATCTGGTGGATTCCAACCGTGTGCCTCTGGGATTGCAGTGCAGCTTCTTGCCACTAGACCACCAGAGCTCCCCTTAAACAATATATTTTTAAAATGACAAACTATTTGCAAGTGGTGTTTCCTAGGTTATTATTTTTAATTTGACTGTATTTTTACATCCACAGGTTTTCAGACTTCCTTTTGTATATTTCACATTACTTTAATAGTTTGCTTACTTGACATAGAAAAATAATTTGTGGCCATATGATACCTACATGACATCTAAACATCCCCTTTTAATGATTATCATGGAACAAGAGTCATTACGTATTACTAGAAATCTCTTCTTTAGTAATATCAGAACCAGAGAAACAACTAGTGATATGAAAAAGTTATTTCTAAACTGAGAGTTTTTGTTCCCCTAAGGTAAATTTTAAGTTCCACATCTATTTTCCAGGAATTTGTGGAGGTTTTCCTAGGGGGTTCATATCGCTACAGGTAGTAATGTTTCTGTTTCTGTGTATCTGCCAGTTGATCAGTACCTCCATTTGAGAGCCTTTAAGCTAGTGGATAAGGAGTGCGGTTCAGCTTGCCTGTCACTTGTTCTCTCAGTGACTCAGTTGAACTGTGCTAGCCATATTATTGCCCATTGTTGGATTTATAGTCTCACCTGTGAAAGGCAAGATTCAAAATGAACACAAATGGGGCATCTGGCAGTGATGATAATGCAACAAGATGGCCTTCACCAACGCTGTTAAATTACCTTATGCAAACTTTTATATAGCAATAGCAAATAAAAAAATGGAGTTGTTATAACCAGTTAGGATTTTCAGTGAGTGGGAATAAAGTCTATGTCCATACTGTTTATGGAGAAATACTATCAAATAGCAATATGTAATCTCTTATTATTTGAAAATAAATCATAGTAATTGTAAAAAATAGATCTGTTCCTCTCTGTGAAGCTTTCACCCCACATACTTTATACTGTAAGTTGTAAAAATGTTATGACATGGACTTCTGACCTCTCCCTTCACAAAGGAGAGCGAGAATCACTGTCAGCGTCAAGCCAAGGCTGACTCATGTGACGCAGAGGTCAGACACATCGCCTCCCTCCACACTTCACACTGATTCTGACACCAGTCCTTCCATGACACTGTACTTCTCCACACAGGCCACACAAAGGCCACAGCATGCACACTTATGGGGTTTATTCAGGAAGTAACATTACAATTCAAGACCAAGAAAGACTCAAGTTCTTAGCTTTTTCTCAGCTGTGTCCACAGGCAGACCTTTTGTTGATCCTTGCCATCTGATCTCGTGGGCTGCCCAGCCTCTGCCTTGCTCAGCAAGTGTTAAACTCCCTAGCTCTACCAGTAAGTTGCCCCAATGCATCTCGCCCCACCAAGAAGCTGCCTGCCAAGAGGCACCCAGCTCTTACCCTCTGTGGGCCCTTGTGCCTGTTTCCAAAAGTGCCCAGGGGCAGACCACTGTGACAAGTCATCACCTTCCCAAAGACACTCAGCTTTCAAACTCTGTGGCCAGGAAGCCCATTGTTTTCTTACCTGCTGGGTTCCTGGCTGTTTTCTCCTGCTGCTGTTTCTCTGTCATTGCGTCACACTTTTCCTGTTATCTCTGAAATTACAACTCTCTTCCTCCAGGGTCTAAGAGGTTCTCAGCACAGGGATTTCAGATCCAAAGGATGTGCTCATTTCCCATCTTTCCTTGGTG